ATAATTAATGTTTACTATTTATCCAAAAATCCCTTAGGAATGTAAGACCTTTAATAAATCAAGAAAATTTGACACTTCTGAGGGATCAAACATGACTTGGCTTAAACAACCCTATATCAGTCTTCATATTTCTTAATCGGATAAAAGAATATAGGAAAATAATGTCACAATCAATTTGATTTACAGATCATTATAACCGGTAGGGTCAGTATACAGATTAGAAAGCTCTGAATGTCGTAGCATAGTACGAGCGTCCAGTTGTTAAAGATAATATTGAATAAAAATATATTTATAACAAACTAAAACCTTGATTATATTCTAAATTTGCTTGTGGCAATACAGTTTTTTTGGGAGAAATTTTAAAATGAAACGCGAATATGAACAGTTATAGCAAGGATCAGAACAAAGAAATTGCGGTAAAACCCCCACTCCGGAAACCACTTAATGGAAGAATGAAGCAAGCTAAAAAGAAACAGACAGTGGAAGCTTTTTACACATGACATCAAGAAACGAGATAAAGAAGACCCCAACAATTATAGAGGTATAAATCTACTGAACACCGCACTTAAGCTTATCACAAAAGTACTAAGCAACTCAATAAACTAACAACTTTATCAAATGAATAACAAGGATTCAGATCCGGAAAATCCTGCGTAGACGCCGTATTTGTACTAAGCCAAATCACAGGAAAGGCCATCGAGTACAATAAACCAGCATATCTGTTTTATAGACCTGACAAAGGCTTTCGATCACATCCAAGTCGATGACGTCTTACACCTGGAGATTTTAAATAAAAAAAAAACGACAACAAAGCTTAAAAGCAAGTAAAGCGGTGGGATGTCTTAATGACACAATCTGGAAGAACGAACACCTAAGACAAGACACAAAAACAAGAAACTATAAAGCAGCAATTAGATCTATATTAACATACACGGCGGAGACAAGACCTGACACATCTAAAACGAGACGACTGTTGACGACTCCAGAGAAGACCTGGAGCATTTAAGTAATACGAGAAAGCACTGCAACATATCTTTCTTGTAACAACACTCGACAGAAAGGGTATGAGAAAGAAAAAGGATATTATTAAAAATCTTTACATTTCAAGTACATTTCTAATCACGGTTAACAATATATAGAAAGCCCTGTTCATTTACAGCAATCGGTAACGGATCTTCACTGACAGAAGATACAAAAAAAAATGAGAAGTCGAAATATTAAGAATATATAAATTGTTCTTAACTCCATCTTGAAACACAAAGTTTCGTTGGCGCGTCAGATTTTTAACATAGCCTTAAAACAGTCATTCGAGACGCTAATTTGGACATCAGGGTAACTATATCCAATAGATCAGTCCAAATTTAAGCCTATGCTGACGACGTCGACATTATAACAAGATTCAGGACGAGAACCACTTAACGCTTAACCAACCTAGTAGCAGCAGCAGAACGAATGGGATTACATATAAATCAAAATAAAACCAAATTATTATGCTAACTAACGCAAGCACAAAGTTCATCTCGGTACATGGGTTGGCCCTAATAATAATACATCAGGGAAATAAAAAGGCGGATCATTATTGCAAATAGGTGCTACCGTGCGGTCTATCAAAGTACTTAGCTAACAAACGTATGTCTCACAAGATAAAAAGGATTTTAACAGCACATCAGTGGGAATAAGAAGATGCAGAGCAAAGCTAAGGTGGATAGCCGGCGTAACACAGTATGCTGAGGAGAAGATCAGTGCTTCCAACTGGAAAACTGAAAAGCAAGGGACTCAGCAGAATGGCACAGAAAGTTTAAAAAGGTCGAAGCTCTTTAATGAGCTGCAGCACCGTGATGATGATGACGCAATTATCCTTAAATAATTAAAAACATAGAAATTCTAGAATTATTTATTTAAATGTTATAGTTTAAAAGATAATTTTCATGAAAACGCTTGGGTTATTTTAAAAATGTTAACTTTCGGAACAAACATGACTCATACTTTTTATTTATTCCGCGCTTTACATATATTTCATTCACAGATTGCTCGAAATATTTTAATAAATTTAAAAATTAGCCGTACAGATACGTCAGAAGCTTGAAATTCGACAACGTTGTAAAACCTTGTTTAAATAAAACGAGGTGACATCACTAAATTGATGTAATGAGTGATTGATCAAGTACTCGCAAATATTTAAACCTTTTGCATACATTTCGACAACGGCAAGAGATATTTTTAAAAAGTGGGAGTGGCTTTATTTCATATCAAACAAACTTATATTATATTTTCTAATTTACAATAATTTACAAGTGTTTTGCTCTAAAAGTAATGTTATATTGCGGCATTAGTGCGACGTATTTGTCGTAAGAGACACGAAAAAATTATTTAGTTAAACGTTGGAGCATAGAGGAGTATGGATCATACTCTAAAAATATTTTTAAATCTACAGGGCCACCCAGATTGACGGAATAGAACAAATATGGGAAATAATGGAGCATTCTTTGGATTCTTGTCAATGTTCTCGATTTTTTTTTCAATATACAGTGTGGAAACCACTTATGGAATAGAATTGTTTGTGTCCTTATTAGAGAAAATAAAAAACTCTGGGACACGTTCATTTTTAAATTTGAATGTGCGCTTTTTTAACATAAATTTAAATGTACAGGGTGATCCACGCAAGTCTGGCATAGTCCATAATCCTTATTTTTAATGAAACACCCTGTATATTTTTATGTTTTTAAAAGATTCTTAACAACCTGATTTCAAAGAAATATATCATGAAGGGAAATATAACATTTTTTGTCATTACTAGGTAAAAACTGTCTAGATAGTCTGCTAATTAAACTAAATCGGTAAATAATACGGATTGTTATCAATCAGTTGTTGGTGTGTTGTTATTTTACATTGAAATAATAAATTCCTAATTTAAAGCTAATTTCTTGCAGAAATAAAAATGAAATATTTAGCTGAGACCCACCGAATTGAGATTTTAATGATGATGGGTTACATGCAGAATTGTGGAAGTCAAGTTGAAGTAGCAAACTTATTTAATCAGAGGTATCCTTAGTTGCCTAATATTTCACAAGGTACTGTGTCTAAAATTTATGCACAATTCAGAGAACTTGGACATGTCAAACCATTAAAAAGAAAACCGAACTTCATTGAAGATGAGGTGAAAGTGGATATTTTGTTAAGTACCGCAGAGAATCCAATGTCAAGTTCACGTCAAATCGCATGTCAAAATAATGTGAGTCACACAACTGTCCTTAGGTATCTTCATGAAGAAAACTTCATCCATATAAATTGACTTTTTTGCAGGAGCTAACAGAAGACGATCCAGATCGTAGAATGGATTTCTGCGAAAGAATGATGGATAAACACAAATGAAATAGCTCTTGACACAATTCTTTTTTTCTTCTGATGAATTAACATTTACATTGAACGGATAAATAAACTGACAAAACTGTAGATATTGGTCAGCGGAGAATCCTCATTGGATACGTGAGACACCCACTCAGTATCCTCAAAATTTGAATGTTTGGGCAGGTATTATAGGAGATCGTATTATTGGTCCTATATTTGTAGATGGTAATTTGACAGCGGAAAAATATTTAAGCATGCTAAGAGACGATGTTCTTCCTCAGTTGGCTAACTAAATATCCCAATCCAATAGATCCGACCCTATCGCATGAAACTATCTGGTTTTAGCAGGACGGTGCAATACCAGATTATGATTTAATGGTGAGAAATTACTTGAATGAATTCCTTTTGGAATGCCTTTGGATTTTTTTCTGTGGGGTTATTTCAAGAACAAAGTATATGCAACACAACCAACTAGCATTGAAGACCTCAAAAGAAGGATAACTACAGAAATACGGAATATTTCACCTCAAACTTTAAACAAAGTTTGGGACAAGTTTTATAGGAGACTGTGTTATTGCCAACAATAAGGTGGAGAACATTTTGAGCTTTTATTTTAATTTAATTCAATTACCTCGGGTATTCTCGGGAATGAATTAATTGTCTTGAAGAAAATTACACTTAAATTCAAAATTTAACCTTGTATTATTCATAATAGACCCTACATGATATAGTTCGTTGAGATCAGGTTGTTAAGAAGCTTTTAAAAACATAAAAACAGGGTGTTTAATTTAAAATACAGATTATGGACTATGCCAGACTTCCGTGGATCACCCTGTACATTCAAATTTATGTTTAAAAAGCGCACATTTAAATTTAAAAGTTAAGGTACCTCAAGGTTTTTTATTATTTTCTAAAATAAGGACACAAACAATTTTCTCAAATAATTTCAGAATTCCGAAACAGATTTTGACGTGGACACCACAAGGGAGAAGGAAAAGAGGAAGGCTGAGAAGAAGCTGGAGAGAGGGAATTGAAAAAGAACTAGAGGAAAGAAAAATCCCTGGTTAAATAGAGAAGAATGTCGGTTAATAGTCGGAAACCGCCGGAGAACGCTGTAAACTGATAGTAGTAGTAGTAGTCAAAAGATTAATATAGCCTACTACTACCTAAAATTATTAACATAGCGAAATAATTAATTTGTGTTTACAGGAATGGTCGAAATTTGAGATGAGTATTTTCTGAACTTGCTTAAACCGAATACCCTGTATTTTACTATTGTAATGGAATGTTATTTATGCCACTATTATTTATTAAGCATTCCCTATACCTAACTGCTTTGATTTTTGAGATATTCTTGTTTTTTTGTTGAATCAAACATTAATTGCAACAAATATTAGGTAAAATTTTATTAGGCTGATAATACGGATGGGACTGTACATTTGAAAATAGTTTTAAAGTTATGTCCAATCTATGCAACTTTCACCTAAATATTTTTTTTCGAATCTACTACGAAAAAAAGAGTAGATGGACTTCCTCGCACAAATGCCACACCCTGTATATGAAATAATTATTACTATATAATCACTAGTTATTAAAAATATTCTCCTGTCCGTTATCGAAAACGTTAATAAGCTCTGGGGTAATGAATATACCTCTTCGTATTTTTTGTCAGCTTCCTCTGCTATTAATTTGGCCTGTGTCAATTGCTGCTCTAAGTGGGACACCCTGTCATCTTCCATATTTGTCTTGTTTTCTAATGCTTTGAGTATCCTATATGCGGAGAGATTAGTTTTGTTTTATTGGGAAAGACACACACTGGTTTAAAATGTAGAATGTTAAAGTTAAGGTGACATCACCGAAAAGAAATTCCACAATCCACATCTCGAACAAAAATTTATATTTTCTCTTACAATCACTATATTTTTCAGAATTCTTGTATTGAGTATATTATAGCTAAGTAGAGTATTTTATATTATCACAATTTTTTCTAAATCAAATGATGATTTTGAACAGCAAAAATGAGAATTTAGATATATACATAGATACTAAATATGTTACTAATAATATCTAAAGCAGTCAATTAAACATTGATACCCCCATTGATTTCGAAAAGGCCTTTGACAAAGTACAACATGAACCACTAAGACAAGTTCTAATAAAGAAAAATATAGACAGCCGAGATATTCGAATTATATGCAATCTATATTGGAATCAAACAGCAAATGTCAAGGTTGAGGGCAGACTAACAGAAGAAATTCAAATCCGTCGAGGAGTCCGGCAGGGATGTATCTTATCGCCACTGTTATTTAATCTGTATAGTGAAGCTATCTGTGAACAAGCACTCAAGGAAGAAGATCTTGGTCTGATAATAAATGGTGAGACGATCAACAATATAAGGTATGCTGACGATACAGTTCTCCTAACGGAAACGCTAGTAGAACTACATCTCGTTCAAAGTCTCAATATATACTGTAAAAGTTACGGCTTGAAAATTAATTTGAAAAAAACTAAATTTATGGTAATCACGAAATCAAAGAACATCAGAGCTAATCTTGTAATAGACAATACAACGATTGAGCGTGTGCCCTGTTATAAATATCTAGGAGCTTGGATCACAGACGATACTGATCAAACAAAAGAGATAAGATGCAGAATAGAAATCGCTAGATCAGTCTTCAATAGAATGCGCAAACTCTTTTGCAATTGTGATATCAATATAAAGTTACGAATACGAATGCTGCGGTGTTATGTCTTTTCTACCCTGTTATATGGAGTTGAGGCTTGGACACTAAAACAGTTGACCATAAAAAACATCGAAGCTTTCGAGATGTGGTGCTATAGGCGCATTCTCAGAATATCATGGATGGACCGCGTCACTAACACGCAAGTACTCCAAACTTTAGACAAAAGATGCGAAATTCTAAATGAGATAAAAACTAGAAAGATGGAATACTTGGGGCACATTGTGAGAGGTGAAAAGTGCGAACTTTTAAGAAACATCATGCAGGGCAAAATTAAGGGCAAAAGAAGTGTGGGAAGAAGAAAAATATCGTGGCTTCGTAATCTACGTGAATGGTTCGGGTGTAGTTCGATTGAACATTTCAGGCGCGCTGCTAACAAAGTCGCAGTGGCCATGATGATTTCCAATCTCCGCTAGGAGTGGCACGAGAAGAAGAAGAAGACCCCCAGTCATGAACCATCGGATATAGAAATTAGAGACTGACAAAGAGATTAATTCTGGGAAGATTTATCTACATCTTATGTTATCCAATAAGTGGATGTTGGCGACAATTCTGGCTTACTCTCAACTCCTCTCGATCTTGTGTGACTCTAAAGAGTGCATGGGCATCGAGGTTTGTTAAATCCCTTATGTTTTCAAGCTCTAAGAATTAGTACTTGGAATTTCGAAATATATGACCCAGATAAGCAGTTTTTCTTCTTTTTATTATTGGCAGCAATTTTCGTTCTCTGCCCATTCGATTTAATACTTCCGACATTTGTTGTGTGATCGGTCCAGGGAATTTTAATTAGTCTTCTAAATACACAATTTTAAAATTTATCACATTGGCCTTTATGGTTCAGGTTTCTACACCATATAGCAGTATGGAGTAAATGTAACATTTTACAAAACGATATCGAAGCGTTAAGGTAAGGCTGCTGTTGCTTAGCAAGGTTCTCATATTATTAACTGTTCTGGCTTGCTCAATCCTGCTACGTATATCTATGTCTGGATCTAGATCTTCACTTATCCAACTACCGAGATATCTAAACGTAAAGTCATTCTCATCTATCAAACGTTCATGAAGCAATCTTACTAATTCTGAATGATTAACACAATCGACCGCTTTCTGGCAATCTATAAAGCATATGATCATCTTTTTGCTGATCTCTGCATTTCTGAAGTAGGACCGTTAAGCTATAAAATGCTTCTCTTGTGCCAAATCCTTGTCTGAAACCGAACTGTGTGGGGCTAATATCTCTTTCGCATCTATTATATATTCTTGTGTGAATTATCTTTAACAAGAGTTTTAGGACCTGGCTCAATAAGCTCATCATTCGGAATTGGTCGCAACTATTAGCGTCTGGCTTTTTTGGGATTGGTGTAAAGGTTGATTGAAGCCAATCCTGACCCATAAATGTCATTAAAAAGATCTACCAAGGCGTCTATATTGTCTTCACTCAATATTGTTAGAACCTCTATGTATATGTCGCCTGGACGTGGTGCTTTTCCACATTTGCTCTGTTTGATTGCCCTTATAACTTCTGACTTCAATATTTTGGGGGAGGGTTACCTTTTATATTCACTTTCAGAGTTTCTTCTAGTGTTGTCTGAGTAATTAATTTATTGTCCTTCACAATGCTGTTTAAACTGCAAGGTTTTATATGACCTGTCACTTCTTTAACGAGTTTTATGTATGTTTAAGTGGTCATGTTTTTCTTCCAATTCCTCCATTTCTGCACACTTGTCTAGCAGCCACTGTTCTTTAGCTTTGCAACACTCTTTTTGTATATGTCGGTTAATCTGCTGACGTTTGGTTCGGTCTCTGTTTTTAAATTATTTGCGGTCGTCCATTATTAATCATTTTTCGTCAGTCCAATTATTCTTCTTGTACTTTTGGGAAGCGATCAGAGACTTGGTGGTGGTTACGATAGCTTTTTTAATACAATTCCATATTGTCTTCTATACTGGCGATTTTGCCGTGAGGTTGTTTTAAGCTGTTTATATTAATTTTCTTTATGGATTTTCTTTTAATTTTTTTGAGAAAAATTTATCTACATAAAAGAAACAAAGTGAGGGAGCACTGCAACAGATCGCATAGATATGAGAATTTAACTATTTTTATTGGAATAGGTCACAATTTTACTTTAAAATAAGTTTATTTTCGGAAATAGTTTTGTATTTTGAGAACGATTTCCGAAGTGGACATCGAAACTTTCCAATTAACTTATTTTAAAGTAAAATTGTGGCTTATTTACAACAAAAATAGTAAATGGTATTAAAATGTTATAGGAAAATAGCCTCAGGACAATATTATGGACTTACATATTTAAAATATATGTAAAAATGGAACAATGGCCGTGATGGGACATGTCATTTTAGTATCACGGCCATGAAAAGAGCCGAAGTAATTTTTAAAACAACATTTCTTTAAATATTTATATTACAAGTCGTAAAAGTTCGACATTTGGCACAAAAGGTCTCGAAAGAAAGGTATAGAAAAAAATTTAATAGTAGTAATAAATTACAAAATCATAAAAGGATAAAATGAGTTATGTGCACTGCAAGAGGAGATTCGGTTGTTTTTGAATATTTCTCGTTTGGACCAATTCAAAAAATATTTTTATAGGTTTCTAATTTATGAGCATGTACATTGTCGCATTAGTATAGACGCCACCACACATTATTTTCTGAAGATTGCTTCAATATTTACTTCAAACAAACCATTTTAAATTTATTTGTGACATTTTATTTTAGAGATTATTAAAACGACTTATCTCTTGCCATTTTGACGGGTCACCCCGATTCTGCTTATGTGGTTATTCCATTCTTTTTTCTATTTTATGTCCATCATTTATACAATGTACGTTACATTTTCTTCTAATGTCTCACTCTATTTCGATGTGTCAACGTATTTTCTGTAATTCTTCTCAGTACTCTCATCTCTTCCGTTTCCAGTAGCCATTGTGTTTGTGGCTGTATCGGATCATGTTTCTGAGACATGTCATTATCGGTCCAACACTGACTTCAACTGCAACTGTGATAGTGTATCTATTTTGGTGAGATATATTTTGAAAAGCGATTAAGTAGGTACTTTAACTTAAGTCTATATAATTTTTGGCTTTAATGTTATATACAAAATTAAAACGACAGCCCTCGTATCTATAGAAAACACTTGTTTTTCATCCGTTGTTTTGGATCATACCAGACTCCATTTATCATCAATTTTTGTAAAAACCGGTTGTGGAACATTAGGTTAGAGGCATTATAGTTTATATAGTTCGAAGATTCTTCTTCTTAAAGTGCCTTTTCCTCAATGGAGGTTGGCTACTACAATTTTAAACTCTTCTCTATCTTCAGCTGTTCAAAATTTAGCCCTGTCCATTGTCGGATGTTTCTGAGCCACTCTCTTTCCCTCGATTTTTCCTTATACTATAAGTTGGGCATATTGGTACTTATTATTTCTCAGTATGTGGCCTAGGTATGATGTTTTTCTAACTTTTACTGTGTTAAAAAGTTCTCTTTCCTTGCCTATTCTATGCAGCACTTCTTCGTTTGAGGTATGCGATGTCCATGGAATTTTGAGTATTCTCCGGTAGATCCACATTTTAAAGGCCTCCAATTTATTTACGGTTGATGTTTTAAGGGTCCACGTTTCAACTGCATATAGAAGAGTCGACCAGACGTAGTATTTTGATAAACGTAGTCGAATTTCCAGTTTTATTCGAGAATCACAAAGCAGTTTTTTTATTTTTTCGAAAGATTTTCTGGCCTGTTCTATTCTCGATCTTATTTCTTGATCAGGATTTCGGCTGCTATCGATCCAACATCCCAGGTACTTAAATCTATTGACCTGTTCTAAGATGTGCCCATTTATTGTGCAAGGTTGAGGTACGTTTTAGTTTTTTCGGATTGACATCACTTTGGTTTTTTTAATGTTTATTTTCATACCAAATTGCTCACAGGTCGAGTTGGTCTTGTCGATGAGTCGTTGTAGACCTGAGTCGGAATCCGCAATTAACACTGTATCATCGGCGTATCTGATACTGTCGATATTTACGCCATTCACCTTGACTCCATCCTTGGACTCCTCCAATGCTTCTTTAAATAGAAACTCGGAGTAAAGATTAAACAGCAGAGGCGACAGAACACATCCTTGTCTAACTCCCCTCCTAATTTCTACTTCTGCGACTGTGGAACCTTCGATCCTAACTCTGGCGTTTTGGTTCCAGTACAAGTTTTTTAAGAATTTGATGTCTTTTCCATCTAAACCGACGTCTTGCAAACGTTCTAATAGTAGGTCGTGTCTTACTCTATCAAATGCTTTTTCGAAGTCTATAAAGCATATAAATATATCTTTCTGTTGATCGTAGCATTTTTGGGCGAGAACTAGTAAACTGAACTCGTTCCCATGCCGGCTCTGAATCCAAACTGATTCTCTCCGATGATTGTTTCGCACTTTCTATAGATACGATTATGTACGATTTTTAGTAGGACTTTTACTGCATGACTAATAAGGCTTATCAGACGAAACTCATTGCAGTGTTGTGGGTTTGGCTTTTTTGGTAGTGGGATGAATATTGACTCCAGCCAATCTTGGGGTATTTTACCTGTATCATAAATGCGATTGAATAAAAGGACAAATAATTCGATATTTTCTTCGCTGATTAATTTGAACGTTTCTGGGTATATTCCGTCTGGACCTGGGCTTTTATTTGTTTTGAGATGATTAATTGCATTTATGATTTCAGATTTCAGAATTGTTGGCCCTTCGTTATTTTCCAATCTTGGTTGTTCTCGTATGTCGTGAAAAAGAATTTTAATATAGTTTTACCATTCTTTCAGTTTATCTTCCGTTGATTCTAGCAGTTTGTCATCCGTGTTCAGCATGGTGTGAAAAGTCGTTCTCTTGGTAGTCGATGTAAACTCTTTTACTTTTTTATGTACCTAAATTAAAAAAATCGTGCCTTTGTTGCAGTTCTTCTATTTCAACGCATTTTGTTTCCAGCCATTTCTCTTTTGATTCGGTTATTTTTTTTTCGAATTATTCTATTTAGTCTTTTGTATTCTCCGTCCTTGTCATTTTTTCCTTTAGATTCTCTTCGTTTGTTCATTAATTGTAAAACGAAGTTCGAAGATTAATTTTCAAAAAAAAATTTCATCTTGCGAGACCTGTTTAATCATAATGCCCAGTTCTCCACATCTTATGGTTAATTTAAACTAAGAATACTATGTCATTAATACGATTTTAGTATTTTATAAAGTATTTCTTTCAACAAATTTTGTTTAAATTCTTTTTGGCGACACACGTTTCAGTTCTTTTTTGAAGATGGCAATACAGTAATCATTAAGTTTCAGTACGAAATGACAAATCGACACCGACGATTCCTAAACAGTACATTTTCGTGTGTTCCATAATAAACAATAAACATTTTCAGCACGTCCGAACGAAACAGACTCTCCCATAACGGAATTTAATTCTGACTACATTGTTGAATTTAAATTTCAAATTCGTCTTTATAACAAGGTCAACAAAAATAGCTTTTTACTTTTTAAGGTTTTGAGGATAGAAAAAGAAACGATCATGTAGACAAGTATTATTTCCACGGATGGTTACAAATACCAAACGATATTCTGACCTTAATTTGGACCATTTGTTTAGTATCTTTTATTTAGGACAATGATTTGATTTATTTTTTATTATACATATATTCCAAAGCAATGAATGGCGTTGCTACCTGTTGAATGCTTTTTGAAAGATGTCTATAAGGTGGCGCTGTAAGAGTATTCGGATGGTATTGCATTCAAAATATCGAAGTATTTATTCATTCAATATATCATAGGAATCTTAGAATTTATTTGAATATTATTGTCTATTAGTCTTGCAACTAGGTGTACAGTGTACATGCTTGATTTTAGATGTACATCTATTTTAATAAACAAAAACAACAGTTTTGACCGAATAGGAATTTAATACATCGATAACCGATCCTTAACAGTATGTAAACTGTTATCATAATGACATATCCATCAATATAGTTTAATCTATTGATTTATTACTACACTAAAGTAGTGTACAAATACTTGAATACAATTTATTTCCTTAGAAAATGTCACAATAGTTAGTGATAAATGGTGATGTGGAATTCTTTTTTACGATATAAAAATTATGGAATAATCCCAAAAATGTCACCTGAACTTACCTAATATACGATGTGATTACATAAAACTACAAAACAGATTCTACAAAAAGAGTATATACATTCTAGCAGTACATACAGATAATCTCAATTTTCTCATATTATTTTAATTGTAGCTATGATGTCATTATCGTGTACAAATCTTACTTAAAAAGTGCGCTGAATCAAAATTTATTTAAACATATAAAATATCTAATTTCAAGAGTAGTTCTAATAAGGTAGTCCATAAAAAAACAAAAGTTATTATCTCTTTATTATTTTTATAGTTTTAAACAGTGACAAGATTATAATCGAACCTAATTGCGAATTGGGAACTGAACTGCAAATATGTGATAAAATTTTTCAGTGGAATTTTTTTTTATTGAGTTAATGCCTCGACAACTAATGATCATTGGCATGGTACAGTCAGGTACCTAGTGTAGTGTGTGTTTGTGTGTAGAGTAATTGTCTTGATACTTAGCAAAGTCGACGTCATTGTCTTTGCTAAGAGACGCTAATTGTATCCGAACGTCTGCGGTCTATCCGGTGAGTACCGATCGCACAAGGATAGAAATTATTTTCAATCATTAATTTTTAATAAACGAAAATTTCTCCACCCAGATGAGATTCGAACTCACGACCTTTAGGTTTAAAGGTAGGCGCTCTTACCACTGAGCCACAGAGGGGGTTTTTCAGTGGAATTGTATTTCATCTATATGAGTTTTGCAATGACACGCAAGTGCTGCAAGGCAATCAGTACGCGAATGCAGACTGACATGTATTCCTCATTATCTCACGCAATGGACATAATATGGATTAAGTGATTATCTGTTGGACAGAGGAGTGAACTTGCGAGTAAACGTATGCGACGAAATTTCGGACTTCGTTACTAATTTCCGTACCTAGTGAATGTCCAATTAGCGGAAAGTTGTCGGAGTACCTCGGAAAATTAACATGGGAGAATTTTAAGGTGTAAGTAAAGGAGGATCATCGGGTTCATTATGGATCTTCTTCACGGGTATTACGAAAAATGCAATAAAAGGCTAATTTCTGCCAATTTTTTTTTAAAGAGATGTACTATAAAAAATCTGAATATTTGACCGCGAAAGGCGTATAAATCAATCTCATACTATGCTTTTGTATTTGTATGGGAACATATTTCACGGTAATTACAGTGTTGTCGCTACCAAAAATATCTATGTTGAAAAAACTAGGCTTAAAAGATCACCAGATAGTCAGTATCTTCCTTCCCAAAAAGGAAGTACTGTACTTCCCAAAAGTACAAAAAGAAGAATTGGATGACTGACGAATTATCGTATTTTATATCGTATATTATATGACGAAAACAAAGACCGAACCAAACATCACCAGATTAACGTACAAATACGAAAAGAGTGTCGCTAAAGAACAGTGGCTGCTAGACAGGTTTGCAGAAATGGGGGAATTGGAAGAAAAATATGACCACTTTAACATACATAAACTCGTTAAAGAAGTGACAGGTCATACAAAATCTTGCAGTTTTAACAGTATTGTGAAGGACAATAAATTAACAAGGATCTACTTTAACATTGGAGAAACTAGTTTAGCTATACTCAGCTAAACAGCTAAGCTATAACAGCTATACTCAGACAACACTAGAAGAAACTCTGAAAGTGAACCCTCCCCCAAAATATTGAAGTCAGAAGTTGTAAGGGCAATCAAACAGCAAATGAGAAAAGCACCAGGCCTAGACGACATATACATAGAAGTTCTAACAATGTCGAGTGAAGACAATATAGAGACCTTGGTAGATCTTTTTACCCACCCCCTATTTGGTCACGAACGGTATCCTGACACACTAAAATTAAGAAAGCACTTTTGCATATTATTGACTGCTTTTTATGTAGAAATTTGTATTTAACAATAATTAATATTTTAATAGCTTTGGTACTACTTTTTGTAAGTTAAGCTTAGTAATAAAACAGTTAACAGTTATTTTTAATAAAGTTTTCAATTACAGGCAATAATTATATTATGAAAGGAAATAATCAACAAAAACATAACACAATAATAATTGGCAACAGGTGAATCAATTTACATATTATAAAAGTGGTGGATTCGATTGTTTGTATTTTTTAATTTGTTAATTTCCATAGATTCTATTAAGGCCTTTATTTTAAATGTGAAGAATTTGAAATTCGTCATTAAAAGAATGATTATGATCTAGAAGGTGAAGTGCGTATGTAGAATCTGGTTTCCTATCATAAAGCCCTTTTATGTTCGGCTATACGTTTTTTAAAAGTCCTACCAGTTTGGCCGATGTAAGTTTTTGGACAGTTTTTGCATCTATTGATGACTGGTGACTTATTCGTAGTTTTAATTGATCACATCGTATATTATCTACAAGAATGTTAGTGCGCTAAGAAAGCACAAACTTTAAACACGTCAAAAATGAATAAGGGATGTTTTTGGTAGGATAGGGAAAAGGTGATCGGGAAACAAACCTTTCGCTTTCATCGGCTGCCTGTGAGGCTTCAGCCAATTTGGCGGTGGCAGTGGCTAAACGTTCTTCTGAGCGTTCCAAGTCTTCTTCCAACAATTGGATACGACGGTTGAGGGCGGCAACTTCGGATTCAGCCTGTAACAAAGAAATATGCATTTAGTATAAGTTTGTACAAATGCAAAAGTAACACAATTATTTTTTTTATTAATAAAACAAAATGTTTCTATCTAACTCTAGGTGTATGTGAATTCAAGTAATTGACACATTCACTGAAATATACTAGTAAAAGATGGACAAAATTATCGCAACATTAGTTATTTTGCTGATAAATGAAAAATAAAAAGAAATAACAGTAGTAAAATTGTTCAGTGTCGCTAGAACGATAAGCAGAACTGGATGCAATTAACTGGTACACCTTGTGGATTTCTTTTGCACAAATTCTTTCATTTATTGAAATTTCGGTTTTTCTTTTTTCGTTGATTGTATCTGAAGCAAACAGTTTTGTTAGTACGTCTTACAGCGTAAAGTGACGATACATTTTTACATTTTAAAATATAATCCTTTTTTCTATTGAGTATGGATGGACTGACACATCTAACTGAAAATTAAGCCGTCCTTTTTAGAGAAGTACGCCATGTCCAAATCATAAAAGGCGTCTCAACGAATCAAATTTGAGCAATAAGAGAACCGCCACATGGCTTCTTCTCAAGAAGTCATTTACATTTGCCAGGTAATACGTAGGATGGAATGTGTACGATTAGAAAAGCAACCTATTTAGATACGAGACAATAATTGGATTGCGAACAATAGATGGCAGTTTTAGCGTCTTCAGAAGAGCAGATGAACGACTTGTCCAAAGAAAGAGTTCTTAAAGGTAACCATAAAGATCAATTCTGGTGATCATTATGGCTGTGATGAGTTTGTTGGTTACTATACGGAACAGCTGTGTTGTGGTCTTTCTATACTATGCTCTCAGGTTAGCAAGCCAGGATATTCTTCTTCGTCTTCATTGGTGACTTTGTCTGTCTATGGTATCTTCAGGATCCTTCTGTATAATTGTAGCTCAAAAGCATGAAGTTTTGATATAGTATCCGCCTTCAATGCCCACGTTTCTACTCCCTACAGAAGCACTGAATACACGTAACATTTAAGGAGCCTTATTTTGTTTCTAGGGTGAGGTCATGACTCTTGAACACAGAGCTCATAGTCAAGAATGCACTTTTTGCCTTTTCGATGACATTTAATCTCTTGGGTATTGTCCGGCGACCCATTGATTATATAGTTCCCAAGTAGTTATACTGTGAGACACGTTCAATTCTCATTTGGTTTACATACAAATTTGCTCTAGTTATGTTTTCCTTGCTGATGATCTTTACCTTGGTTTTGCTGGTGTTTATATGAAGTCCATATGTTCTACTTGTTTCCGTTATTTTGTTCATTAAGTTTTGCAGCCCTTCTATGGTATTGGAAAGCACTATTGTACCATTTGCATACCGCAGGTTATTGAAAGACTCCATTTATTGAGAGGCCTTTATCAATATCTTTTAGAGCCTCTTCAAACATGTGGTCCGCGTACAGATTGCATATCAGTGGTGAAATTATGCACCCCTGTCTCACTCCCCTTAAGATTTTGACCTGATTTGTATATCTGTCTTCCATGTCGATATGGCTTTAACAAATACGCTCATTTGTTTACTGTGTTAGGTATTATTATTTGGGGTGTGCTTTCCCCTTTGTAATAGATTGATGTTGATAGATAAAACTTCAGAGATTCGATGATACAATGGTAACACCAGCTACAGTATAGCTGGTGTTACCAAGTGTGAGGCAGTAAGCCTGAAAGGACTGGGGACTCCCAGCATGGGATATAATGCCACAAAAGGCGGTGTGGATACCATTGATCAAATGTGTGCATCATATTCTGTAAAAAGAATAACAAATAGAATACCATTGATTATATTTTTTTCTCTAATGGATATGACCGATATCAATGCGCAGGTCTTGTCTTGTACCAATAAAAAACATCCCAAATTATTTTTCTAAAGAATGCTCGAGTTTAATGAAAGTATATCTTTTAGAAATAGCAACAAAGCAATATCTTTATCAGGATATTCAAGGTTTTCTAATGAAATATAAATCATGTGAAGAACCTACTAGAGCAGAACTGCAAAGATCTAGAAAACATGGACGTTGTGCAATATGTATGTCCAGGATAAAAAAATCCAGCACAACAGTCAGATGTGGGTTATGTAGAATATTTGTATGCAAAATGCATTCAGAAACGACAATTACAAGAACACAAATCAAGTGAACATGGTACATGGTTATAGCAAGGCTTATGCATTTTTTTGTTTATTATTTTATGTAACAATAAACTATTTTTGTAAATCGTGATTGCCATTTTGTTAAAACGCACTAAATCTGGTAAATTCAACTAAAATGTGTTTTGTGTGCAAAATACACAGCGCGCCCGGCTATGAAACGGAAATCGGCGCGCCTGCTGTAGGGTGGACATAACAGAGTGGATAAGAATAGAGTAAAGCTGAAAGTGACAAGATGTAACTAACAGTACAAAAAATTGTCTACTTTTAGATAGCAGAAAACATTCCCTTCGTAATAATCAAAAATAACAATCTTTTATCATAATTATTGGGTAAGGACATTGCGTACGTTATCCCTCTAATGCGCATTCATAAACCTTGAAAATAACAAAAGAACACACCTTGCAACATTTAAAAAAATAGCTGGTTTACTAGCACATATGTTACTATGAAACTACAGATCTATAAATTAAGCAAAGTATAATAAATATCTGTGAGATAATTGAATTTAAACATCGACTTTGCTCTCGTTACCATGTAAACAATAAATTGGGTCAATTTGATCGGTGTATTCAGGGTGGAGTGGTTTTATTATGAGGTAATCAACCTTACTTCCTTCCGTTTGATGATACTAGCTAGTAAAAAACCATAAAAGTTATGTAACGTAGAGTATGTATTATTTGTAAAATCGTACGTTATTTGTGCAATTTACGCGAGAATACTAAAGATTATGTAATCACACAAATTCTTCCGTTTTTCATTTGATTTTTCTTTTATAAATTTCCGTGAATATGCTCTTTATGTAGCTTGTAGCCTTCAGTATTAAATAAGGCACCACGAGAAAAAACTACATTTTTAAAATTTTTATATAAGGAATGAAAATTAACTGTGAAAAATTAATTTGATGAGGAATCGGTTTTTCATTTATCCTCATTATTTTTTGCTTAGTGATTAAAGGTACTTCTAATAGAGCATGTTTGGGATAAACTTAAAGAAGGGTGCAGGGCAGAAATCGTGCAGTGAGTATAATGGAATTGGGAGCTGCGTTTAATGATGAATATGAAGAAATACCTCAAGAATTTATAAGAAAAGTTATTCGATCCTTCCGAAAGCGATTGAAAATTGTAATTAGGCGTAGGGATGATAATATCACAATACTGAAAAATAAAGAAATTCATTTTGTAATGAATGATTTCTCTGTTCATAACGTCTTTCTTGCGTTCGTTCCAATGATGAATATTTAGGAAACTCTATTCGTATTGCATATTGCTTTTATAATGCGTCTTCCAAATATTGCAACAGCAGTTTTGTAGGTTCAATTAAAATGTTATTGTTCACACATCACATCACAACGATTGAACAGCTTATTAACGTGACAACAGCTTATTGATGTGATATATAGAGCCAAGTATAGAGCTCTTGAGATACAAATAAGGAGACAATGGAGAATGGAAAGCACCCAGACGACATATATGTTTCTACTACTAGTATCATTCTGAAAAGCCTATTGGGTTTTAGTGAATATCTATACAATACCATGCAAATAACGGTACTGATGCGACCGACGTCCAGATATGCCTCAGAATATTTGCTAGAGGTATCCAGTACACCAGATGACCTAGGTATAGATATGATTTCCTAGAGCTCAATCTTTTTGATAAGTATCTGGTATCTAGGTATATAGGATGATTGAATTTTCCCTATAGATGGAGTGAGAACCCAAATCGATATTAATATAATAAAGATCAATACAAAATACTAACTTTATGCAACACAGTGACTATACATTTCCATTACCTTCAAACCTTATAAAAACCTTAAATTTTGAGCACTGTATTTTGACAACGGATTCCAAAAAGAAATAGTTTTTATTTGTCCACACGTATGTGATTCATGTTAGCATAAAAGGTTTATACTAAAAACAAGATATATCTCAGGTAAGCTATAAACTTAAGTTTCTAATTCACGTATGTGTATTTTGATTGCTTATTGCAGAATTCCCTTGAAATGATTCATAGTACAAAAAGTAAGGCATATGATTACATAAATGGAGTTGCTTAGGTGTCGATACATCCTGTAATTTTGCCAATATTTATCTTTTTGATACGGGATATGACGCACCTCAAGAAAAAGTATTTGCATTCTGATAGTACATAAATAGCAAAGCACTTATGGATGTTTATAAAAGTAAACATATATGAATCTGTATTGTTGTTGTGTATGTACTTACAAGAGTTTTTATTGAAATGCGCAGCAAATCCTAAGTTAGCATTAAGTTATCCAAGAAATGTGTCAAATTTACACGCGGATGTAAACTTACACCTTTCAGTTGATTTTTATCTATAGTTTCCACATTCGACTACATTTTTTTGTCGAATTTTAAGTTCCTAAGACAGTTAGTTGATATATGTTATGATTTATTCATTTCCTAGTAAAATTAAGTACCTTTATCTTGTAATTACGTAAATAAAAGACATTAAAACTTGAAACAATCAAAGGCCAGTGAAAGTCCATTTTCAGAAGAGGACAAAACCTATGAAACAACCACAAATTGGGGCTGAAGTGCCAGTCTATGGCAGACTACATGTTAAAGAGCACTCATATTGTAGTCTATTGTCTACTTTAAATTTATAAATAGCATCCGCGTGTATGCCGTAATTAATATAAATGAAAACGAAACTCATAATCTGGTAATGTTACTATTTGATATCAAATTTCAATCACAGATGCGTAACGGCATTGATTTCTAATTATTCAATCTTATTGATCAGTAAGGTTGAATTAATCATAATTAAATAAAAAGTACATTCTCAA